GGAAATAATCCGTTGCTATTTACCAACGGAAAAATATCCGTTACTAATATAATATTAATGATGTCCGTTGCTATTCCGTTGCTGTTTGACAACTAAAAAAATCCGTTGCTATTTACCAACGGATTAATATGTTGCTAATATAATTTTGAAAGACTTTGTTGCTATTCTATTGGTATTTTGTTTGTGTTTACTAACGGAATATTTCCGTCACTATTTGCCAACGGAATACAAAGATGTAATTTTCCGTTGCTATATCTTGTTAGTATTCTATTGGTAATATGTTTAGAAAAATTGTATATATAATGCATTGCTAATTCGTCGGCAATCCGTTGGCAATCCCTAACGGAAAAATTTTTGTTGGTAATTTCCGTTGGCATTTTGACAATTTCTTGTAGTGTTCATCAACTTAAACTTATTTTTTTTTTTCGATTGATTTATATTTTATTTAATTTATTGATTTATTAATATATTGATATATAAATTTGATCAACATTCTTTATGAATAACTTTAGATATTATTGGAGTTGTCGTGGAGATTGGTTCTGTTGCCATTAAAGAAATTAATGGCGTCCCCACAAAAATGATTGTTTTTCATTTGATCGACTTGGAGTAAGTGTTTATTTTATTTTTGCCATAAATAAATCAATTATATTTGTATGTCGATTTAATTTATATTTTAAATTATTGTAGAGAGAACAAGTTGAGTTGCACTCTTTGGAACGAATATGTTGATATATTTCTTCAACATGAACAACAACATGCTGTGGTTGAAGGCCGCCAATGGATTATGATAATTAACTTGTGTAGAGCAAAACCATTTGATGGTACAAATTTGATACTTAAATAATTATATATTTTCGAAACATACTTTTGTTTTTATTTCATCAATAATGTTTATGTAGGTCGTCCTAATCTTACAACGTCACAAACTATCACTCGGCTCATTTCAAATGAAGTTCCCGAGATTGAAGAATTTCGTAGAAGGTTTGTGTAAAATATTAATCTATCGTATTACATTAATTGATTTGATTTTAATTTAGTAAAATATTTTGTATTTTGTATTTTATGAATAGGTTGGCAACTGCACGAGTTCGTAATGCTTCTTTAACTTCGAGGAGTTCGATTGTAGCACGCAGTGAAATGGATGATCTTGCTAGCGGTAATTTGGTAGTCGCCTCTGTTGATTCGCTTTATGGCGTTGATAAGGTACTGTTAGCGTATAAGAAACAATTTAAGACTACATAAAATTTAAGGTTATATTAGAAGTGACGGAATTTTAGAATTTATATTACGTGATATTTTAATATCTCATATTGTTTTTTTTAAATTGTTAAAAAAATTAATTTTTATTTTGTTAATTTTCAACAGGATACAACTACTTGGATATGTGCTACTATTAAATCGGTTATTGACGAGTGGTACTACCTTGCATGTCGAAAGTGTAGTACTAAAATGGATGAGAGTCCAGGCCATTATGATTGCTCTAAATGCCAAGGGAAAAGGGGTGTTTTTCGGTTAGCAAATTATTGAAATAATTTATCTATTTGTGTATTCTTTATTAAAATTTAACTTTTCTTTCAATTTTATTTACTTAATAGTTACTAATATTTTGCTAAATTTTAGGTATAAGATCCCTTTTGTTGTTTCCGATGCAAGTGCGGATGCTACATTAATTGGTTGGGATAGAGATTGTGAAAAGCTACTTGGTATCAGCTGTGATGCACTTAGGCGTGCCATTATTGATAGGGTTATATATCTAATTGATTTTTTTCACACAAATATATATGATTAATATATTTTTTATATTATTATTAAACATTGCATTTTTTATAAATTATAGAAGAAGATTTCGTACGAGCTGCCCGACGAGATCGAGGAAGTGGTTGGTAAAACATTGCTTTTCAAAGTTCGAATCCAAGCGAAGCAACGTTTTGGCTACACTTCATTTTCTATTGTTAGAATGGTTGATGATGATAACCTGGTTTCCAAATACAACCATTGGGTTGTTGAGCATACTGTATGGATTATT